GACTGTAGACTGTAGTCTGTAGACTGTAGACTGTAGACTGTAGACTGTAGACTGTAGACTGTAGTCTGTAGACTGTAGACTGTAGACTGTAGACTGTAGTCTGTAGACTGTAGACTGTAGACTGTAGACTGTAGACTGTAGACTGTAGACTGTAGACTGTAGACTGTAGTCTGTAGTCTGTAGACTGTAGTCTGTAGACTGTAGACTGTAGACTGTAGTCTGTAGACTGTAGACTGTAGACTGTAGACTGTAGACTGTAGACTGTAGACTGTAGTCTGTAGACTGTAGACTGTAGACTGTAGACTGTAGACTGTAGACTGTAGACTGTAGACTGTAGACTGTAGACTGTAGACTGTAGACTGTAGTCTGTAGACTGTAGACTGTAGACTGTAGACTGTAGACTGTAGACTGTAGACTGTAGACTGTAGACTGTAGACTGTAGACTGTAGACTGTAGACTGTAGACTGTAGACTGTAGACTGTAGACTGTAGTCTGTAGACTGTAGACTGTAGACTGTAGACTGTAGACTGTAGACTGTAGACTGTAGACTGTAGACTGTAGTCTGTAGACTGTAGACTGTAGACTGTAGACTGTAGACTGTAGTCTGTAGTCTGTAGACTGTAGACTGTAGACTGTAGACTGTAGACTGTAGACTGTAGACTGTAGTCTGTAGACTGTAGACTGTAGACTGTAGACTGTAGACTGTAGACTGTAGACTGTAGACTGTAGACTGTAGACTGTAGACTGTAGTCTGTAGACTGTAGACTGTAGACTGTAGTCTGTAGACTGTAGACTGTAGACTGTAGACTGTAGACTGTAGACTGTAGTCTGTAGACTGTAGACTGTAGACTGTAGTCTGTAGTCGATTCACAACATTACCCTACCCCTACCTGTAGTGGTTATCACGTTCGCCTCACACGCGAAAGGTCCCCGGTTCGAGACCGGGCGGAAACACATTATGTCTTGATTGTCTCAATTTATAGAAAATTAAAAAGATTGATCAGGCAGCACAGATTGAAGAATATCAATATGCAGAGCAGGGCTATTCAATTAGTTTGGAATGGGGGCCGGTTGATGAAAATGATCCAAAGCAAGGGGCCGGGAAAAAGATGGCTTGAAATATGAGCAATCATATTAAGAGCTTTGGATACAGTAAATACTACAAGGGCATAGTGGAGTGCATATATTCGTGAATATATCCATGTTATTTTATGGGATTATTATGAAAAGGAGTTCTAAAAATTAAAACATGTTTCCGCCCGGTCTCGAACCGGGGACCTTTCGCGTGTTAGGCGAACGTGATAACCACTACACTACGGAAACTCGGTGAGAGCACCCCTAGTGGTTATGATTTATATAGCCACATCCAACCTGATTACAACCCAGAGTCTTCAGTGAACAGCGCCCCCCAGATCCCTCTTATGGTCAAAGATATATCACATCCGTAGTGATAAGGACTCCCATAGAGAATGAATGGTAAGAGTTAAGGGAGATGAGCCTTACTGTCCTAGGTTTACATGTCCTAGGTTTCGAAACCAGGAGGAAACATCCATATTTATATAAGCACATGTAATATATTCAATATAACATTCATTATTATTTCTTATCTAGTGTACATTTCAGGCGGCCTTTAAAAATTGCTTTGCTTACTTAAATAATTACACCAAAAGTAATTACAATAAAACAATTATTAATTTCACATTAGCGCAAACAGCTAGAAAATAAATGTTGAATTACTAAATTGCATAAGGCAAGGCAAGTTTATTTATATAGCACCTTTCAACACAAGGCAATTCAAAGTGCTTAACAAAAATGAAAGATCTATCTGATCTGAAAGATGCCATTTAGATCTATAAAGGCCTTGGGGCTATGTTGTTTGATTTAATTAAACACACATAGCAAAGGAAAGTGTCCATGTAATGTGGGTGGCTCTTAAAAGAGCCTTTGGTCGGTGGGTCAGCAGCTGCTTATCCCCCGAAGCCGTACAGGGTGCGGCCCTGCCTCTTCAGAGCGTACACCACATCCATGGCGGTCACCGTCTTCCTCTTGGCGTGCTCGGTGTAGGTGACTGCATCACGGATCACGTTCTCCAGGAACACCTTCAGCACACCACGGGTCTCCTCGTAGATCAGACCGGAGATACGCTTCACTCCGCCGCGGCGAGCCAGACGGCGGATGGCGGCTTGGTGATGCCCTGGATGTTATCACGGAGCACTTTGCGGTGGCGCTTAGCGCCTCCTTTGCCGAGCCCCTTGCCTCCTGCAAGCGTTCAGAAGTCGACACAGCTCTGTTGACTGAGTCAGGTGTTTGGTGTTATGGAAATCTAAAAACCCCAATACTGTAGAGTACAAGTCAGAAAACAAATAAATGGTGAATCAATGATGTTGTCTTTCTGGTGATGTTTATTCGAGGCCTCAAACAAACATCAGATACAATAAAATATAGACACAGGTCTCACAGAGTATAGGATAGTCTGCGCGAGTGTGCGCAGTTGAATTAATAGCAAAGCAATATAAAGGGAGAGTAAAAAGGTGGGGAGGAGAAGAAATCTTCACACGGTCACATTGTTATTAGACACCTGGCCTTGAGCTGTAGAAGTTCTCGTGTGACTTTGTGTGAGTCAACTCAGTAGCCAAAACAGCTCTGTGGCCTTGAAGTAGAGAAGATAGAGGAAAACAG